AGCTCTCAGCTCCTCTCCACTCATGCTCATACTGAGACTCAGCTGTCGTGGTGTATATGAAAATGTACATATCATTCCATAGCAGAAACTGATGTACCAGCTACAGGTAATCGCATCACAAACAGTGCCAAAAACATCATCAAATTACAAATTGTGACACAAAGGCGTAAACCTATGACAAGTGGTGCCATCAAAGGTCATACTGTAACAGTAAAGTGCCATAACGGTGAATCCCATGGTAAACAGTGCCATAAAAGGTAATATATAAAAGGCATTCTCATGACAATTACAGTGTCATAAAATATAATCATATGACATATAAAATCTTCAAAAGATAATACCATGGCAAAAGAAAAGGTATTCCCCATGGCAAATAGAGATGTGAAAGGTAATCAAAAGGCAGTGCCATAAATTTAATCTCATAGCAAACAGTGACATAAAAGGTATTCCCATGACCAACAGCAACATAAATAGTAACCCATGGCAAACAGTGACAAAAGGGTAGGTTTCAATTGCAAATTAAGGTCATGGATTAATTTCACAGATGAGTTATTCAGTTCACGAGTGCAGTTTTTATGGAGACCCCTGGGGATCATCACTGGAGCTACAGAGTTTAAGCTTTGTGCAACATTCTTGGGAGGCAGCCAGCTGTTTTGGGGAAAGAGTCTAAGCCAGATGGGATCAAACCCAGTGCAAAGAAGCCGACCCTCTCGACTTTAACTTGACATTAACTATACTTGACACCATATTTTGAAATAACGGTGTGAAGATCTCACTCAAATGTTTCTCAAAATCTACATACGCTAAGTGGAGTGGCTTAAAGGTACTGTGTCCATCTCTAGCTTCAGCAAACAAGGTGCAATATAAAGTGCTGACAGTAACAGATTTTTTTACACAAAATAAGGAAGATTTCTCCATTCTTAGAGGAGCGCCTGGCCGATTGGTTGGAAGGATGGGCTCTCAAGTGGGAGACCCAGGTTTAAATCCTCGGTAAGGCTGGGAGTTTTTTCTGTCGGGGGGCAAAATAAAATCCCCACCTGCACATTCGTGGCCACAGCACTAGCCATGCTGCCATAAATCCTCAGGCTCAAAGATCCCCCTGCCTACACCAAAAAAGTGGTAACAAAGGCAGTTATTCACAGTTTTGACTCCCCTCTTACTGGGGCTGTGGACTGAAAATCCTATTCTGTTTCAGATAAAGCTGAAAAACTATGTGGCCTTGTGTTGTGGATGTTAAAAATCCTGTAGCAGTTGGAAATTGAAAACAGCAACCCAAATAAATCTCTACCCTGGCACAATTTCAAAATGAGATAACCATCCCAAGAAAAAGAATATTTACAGCATGGATGATTTTCCTACTAGAAAAAAAAAATGTATTAAAAAAAAAAACTACTACAGTACCCATTGTTAAATTATTTGAGAAACAGAGACAAATGGTTCAGATATAGTTCAGCGAAAGTGTACAATATGAAAATGGAAACATCAAGAGGCGGAGGGAGACCTAGAAGATATGGACTGAAGGAGCCACTGATAGCCTAAGACTTTACAATACCACAGCATTTCAAGAATGCCTAAACTCGGATATCTATTATCTGTTAAACTATGACACCTAGCAGGATAAAGCAGAGAATGACAACAGAAGAAAGAAGAAGATTTTCCTATATAACGCATATATAGGATCCCTGCTGGTACTTCAGAATCTGTGCACTGTGGTGGGATTCTCCTTGTGTGCTCTAAGAAAGGATACTGAAACACCCGTAAAAGTATCTGAAAGCAAGGAAAATATCCCTTTACCAAGCAGAGAAAACAAACCTTTTCTTTTAATGTGTTTCCACAGTGCATCTAGAGGGAGTTGCCGTGGCGTAGCGGCTAGATCTCGCCTGTGAATCGGAAGGTCATGGGTTCGCTCCCTGGCGGTGCCGCACTTTTTTTCAAAAATGATCTTGGCTCCTAGGTCGACCTAGCCTTGAGTGGGTACCAGGTGCAGTCCTGGGAAGTAAAGGCAGCCGGCATGATGCTGACCACATCACCCATCTTGTGCCGCTGGTCTATAAAATATAGGTCTAGCCCTGTATACCCAATATGCCTGAAAGGCGTAGAAAAAGGTCCTTTTCTTATTTTCACAGTGCATCTAGCAGGAGTTGAAGTGAAATGCTAAGCTCTATACAGGAATACCATGAGAACTAGAACTACATCATTGCTATCATGTATATTTTGAGATACCTGATCTTACCTCGCGCTGTAGGTATTCAAACTCCTCCTGAAAAAAAAAAAAAAATATTTATGTATCCACCATAAAACAACAGGCAGTAATAATAATGAATTCTGAAAGTGAACATGTTTTTCACTAGTTTTCAAATGGGACAGCAAAGTGAGTATGACTTCCACTAGCTCAGGAAAAGAGCAGTTTTAGTGCAAACTCATCTGCAGTGAAGCTGGAACCTTGACTTATGACTAGTGAGCACAAACAGTATTTGTTCATTTATTCTTAACATAACTGGGAGATATTGTGGTGTAGTAGTGGCTAGAGGTTCACCTGTTAGCTAAATGGTCTAAGTGTGTCTTCTTAAACCATCTGCAGTTATTTTCTCCTTTGTCCTTTGTCCTGATTTCCCCTCCATGCAATATGGTCCATGGTATCGTGTTCTCATGAATCATTTCAATACCTGTATTAGCAAAGAGAAAATATTTGAACCTTTTTACCATCACTCTTTTCTTTTTTCATTTTTTTTTTTTTAATGTGGCGTCGGTGGCTTAGGCATTGCGAGTCTGACTTGTAATTCCAACAAATGCGATTAAAACCCACTGCTGGCTGCATGGACCTTTATCATGGTATAGGGCGGTGCAAGTCGACCCAGCCTAAAATGGGTACAAGGATGGCTGTCTTAGGGAAGTAAAGACGGTCGGCATAATGCTGACCACATTACCCACCTAGTGCCGATGGTCTATAAAAAATATGGGCGCTCCTTCCATATACCCGATATGCATTTAAAAAAAGGCGTGAAAATGGATCTTTACTTTTACTACTTTTTTTTTACGCCTGCCTCCTCAAACCATCTGTAGTCTGTTTCTTCTTTGTCCTTATTCCTGTTTTTCATCATTTATGCAACATGGTCAATCAAATCTTGTCCCAATTAACCTACCTCAATACCTGTATCGTTCATGTCAGGCTTGCGAGCAAATCTTTACATTACAATAGAGGCCAACTTTGTTATCTTGTACTTTTTTGTAGTTCACCATAGACAATTTCATTATGGACTCTTCGTTGGCTACGGAGAAATGGAACAGATCACATGTAGGATGGTAATCTGGTAATCTGGTAATCTTAGTTTCAGCATCATAGCAAACGGGTCACCCCATTGTTGCTCCGCTCCTGTGCCAACGAAAAACACTCGTAGCTCACAGTGTCACACCATGCACTCAACTCAGAAGCTGGGTGACGAAACCATATCCTTCCAGTCTACAAATGGAGCAAAAATGCAACGCCTGAACTGCCACGGCTAAAAAAAAAAAAAAAAAAAAAAAAAAAAAAAAAAAGTGGCCGTGCCTAGCGTCCACTGTGACTTGAAGCATTATGTGAGGGGTTAACAAATGGTCACCCCAGCAGTACCCTCACTATTAGCTGGGAAAGGGACTTAGGACATTACATCCACCAGCAGGCGTCGCCCCTACAACGACCTGACTGCCTTCGTTAACGACTGTTCACCCAACAGCCATGCAGTTCTTTGGCACGAAGGAGACACCTTGAACTTGGGTTTCGGAATGCCGACTTCCTACAAAATGTTATTTTGTGTTTTGTTATCACAATCGACGTCACTGCACATTGGGCATACCCATGCGTGCGCAGTCCTCCGAAGCAGCAGCCACTCCAAAGTACTTCTACTAATTGTCCCCATGAGAAGCTGGTTATATTGTCTCCTTTCTCGGCCTCGCAGACGGCAAAGACGTGCTTCACCATGCTTAACTCCCATGTCACGCAATCGTGTTAGTGTCAGGGATTCGATATTATCCACTAGCCCAGTACGTACAGCGTTAACGATATCTGCTCTGTCCATGCTTTTTCCCGCAATCATTAGTGCTGTGCTTGCCAGTTGGTCCGCTCGCTCATTTCCCTTTACGCCCGCATGACCCGGTGTGTAGATCCAGGTTACGGAAGTTAAGTGCGAATTCCGAATGCTTTCTATCCATTCAGAGCGCATACTGCCAGTTGCTATTTTCTGAAGCATATTCATTGAGTCTGAGACAATTACTGCTTGTTTGGCGGTTTGCTCGGATACCCATGCTAAAGCTCTAGAAGCAGCGGCTATTTCCATGGTCATGCTTGACGTGGTTGTCTGGTAAGCGCCGCTATCTTCATATATTGTTTTCCCCCTTCTTTGCGCTGTGTATGCCCATGCTGACCTTGATCCGCGCTTCACGGACCCATCTGTGTAGATGATGATATCTTCTGGGTCTGAATGCTGATCTATCAGTTCCCTTACTTTTGTGTCTATGGCCGCAGGAATCTGATCCCGACAGTACATGTAGGATGACCTGAGTGCAGTCATGATTGGTCAACTGACTCTAACCATATAGCTACAATATATTTCTTCTTCTGAATTCATCCTTCAAAGGGTGGTTGGCACATTTTGTTGTCACCCTTACCCGCATAGGACTGCAGGTGACGTCTGGCTCGTGTAGCTTGCCCTAATAATAACTGCTTTTAAGACTGAACAGGGTATGTCGGTTCTACCTTGTTGGTCTGCCAACCAGAATGATATTTTAAATTTCAGAATGATATGGTAGACCTTCAAGTAGCAGCCCAGAGAGACAAACTGATCAGAAGATTGATTCTGTTATGGTTTTCATCCAGGCTGTGATATCTGTGCCTTTCAGCCAAACACATCCAATTTCAGCAAAACCAATAGTGGGTCCCCCCAACCCCCTCACCCACATGGGGCCCCAGAACCCCTAAAGGGAGCCATCATACACAAAACAACGACCACAAACTATCTGCTTGCCTCTTCAGCCAGGAAGGTCTCGCTTGTGTACGGCTTCACTATAGTTGGCATAATTGTGTCATACTTTTGAGTATCAGAACCAGGCTCCTCAATGTACTGTAGACAAGGACATTTCATTTACATAATAGCATGCATGTATATTTTAGATGTACCTACTAACATAAGTTTAAATCTAAATTGATTTCACAAATTTCCCGTCTATCATTTGTAAATGTTATAATAAACTACCAGATTTGGGACTTTTAAAAATTAAGAGATTCTTCTAATAAAGAAATATGATCATATATGTAATTTAGGTTGCTCTGCTTTATTCTTGTGACATTTTTAAGATGCAAAGAAAGAAGGTAAAAAACATTTTTTTAAAGAAAGGAATATTTTGCAAAAGAAAGAAATAAGTAAGAAAGAAAGAAAGAAAGAAAGAAAGAAAGAGAGAGAGAAAGAAAGAAAGAAAGAAAAGTTAGCAAAGTTATTTTATGTTGTTGCCATATGTCTGGAGATCAGTTAAGCACAAATTTGTCTTCACAACATATCAGTCATCCCATAAATGCTCCGTTTCGGTGTCATCAAAAACACGTCACAGAATATCCATCACTGTTCCAGGTTAAAAAAAATAATTGCCCAACAGCATACATAACACATTAAATGCATAAGGTAGCTGTCAAGACAAATAGTCTGCAACTAGAACTGTAGTTCACTGTCAATGCTAGCAGCAGTTTCAATTAATCAGAAGTAGCACATGCAATATATTACAAGTCCCTATCAGTTCTTGGCAGAAGCAAAAAATTTGCCACGACTCAAAACAGTGACCATGCCTAGCGTCCATTTGCCCGGAAGTCTGTTATCCCTTGAGTCACATGACAGGGTAGAGAGACTATAACTGAATTGAAGATGTGCATTCCTCTCCTCCTCTCTCACATCTTTTTCAAAAATGTGGTGGTAGTAGTTGTAACTGGTAGTAAACAACTGCCAAATGAATGCAGATTTTTTAGAGTGAATAATTAAATACAAAGAGGAAAAGACATATGACATCCAAAACGATCTAAACATCAAGGAAGATTGGTTAATAAACAGCATCTTGACTAAGAAGCTGAAATATTTTGGCCATATCAAGTGCCAAGGCAGGCTGGAAAAATAATAGTAGAAGGCACTGTGAAAGAAAGGAGGGGCAGGGGCTGACCAGCACAAAGATAGGCACACGACAGTAGTGACTCCTTGAGTATGAAATTGCATGTCATGTGAGAGCTGGTGAGAGATCGTTTCTTTCAGGCAGACCTGATGACAGCGATATTCTGCAAAGGACCTGACACAAAATGATGAGGAATAACAGAATATAGTCCCTGCAATCATTTTCTGAGTCTGTAGTGCTTACTTAAGGATTTGCTACACCTAAAATGGATGAGTTGACATGGGTGCGGATTAGTATCATATACCAACCATCTTAAGCAAAGTCTCAAGAAGGATTAGTGTAGCACCAATTCCACCCAGAATCTAGCTTGTGCGTAAAACCTAGCAAATTTTTCCTCCAGACCTCTAGGCTTGCAGAAAAGTTATATCGGGGTTCGAACTTTTGTTGCCCACATTTCACACATGTTGGACATCACAACCCTAAAGAGAATAAAGGTAAGAAGTCAGTACGCACCCAGTTAATGGCGTTGAACATAATGAGATCAAGTGGGTCTCCACTCAGCTGCCCATCAATGATTGTGAGAGAGTGGCACGCAGCCATACATACAAGCAGTGGACCTCGGCTCAGGGCTGTAGGGTTGGGTAATGGTTGCTGAAATCTGAAAGAGATTGGCTTCCAATTGTTATGAACAATGTTAAAGATCAATATTTATATCTAATGTTTTAAATGAATGTTTATAAATGTTTTAAATTAATGTTTATATCTAATATTTAAAACTATGTTATGTGAAGAGAGAGAAAATTATGAAGTATTTACCACAAGAATATCCCCAGCCGAACCACCAAAATGGCCAATTAGCCTGCTGACTGCTGAAACTCTAAAAACATTTGTTTCCAGCTGTTTTGCTGATACAAACTCCCCATTTCTGGACCAGGAATCCACAGGTTCCGTCGCCAAGCTACTGAGTTGAGTGCTTGGTGTGACACTGTTAATTTCATGTGAAATGTTTTCTCTGTTGTGCCTGCAGCATGTTGTTGACTACACTAAAATGGAGGGTGGTTGATAAAGTTAAGAATGTCAGGTACTTCTGTGGGTGCAATGCTGGCTTTAAGAGCCAAGTACTACAGCCCATAGTGCAGCTCTGTGGCTTACAGATTATTGAATGGGTTTCACAATCCACTGTCCATGTCGTTCTAGGGTTCATTTCTGCGAAAGGTGATGAAATTTTTTTTAATTGTTACATTAGCATTCAGACAGTGGTGTGAGAGTCATGCCGTGGAAGAGATTGGAGTCTCACCGCGTAATACTCATAATGATGGCAGTGAAGATGACATACAATAAATTAAAAACTAAAGAATTCACATATTGTCACCTGTGTTTGTGAACCGGTACCACCCCCCACAGATCGAGTCCATCCTCTGTTAATGTGCCGGTCTGTAGACAAGATGCAGTAAAGAAATATCAACAATGGGGGCGTTTAAAACTTCAGAAATATCACAAATACAAAGAAACAGGGCTAAATAAATAGAAAGTACAAAATACAACACTAACTTTGACTAGAAAACTCAGCAAAGGGAATGGAAGAAATGACTCGAAAATACAACTGAATGTTTCAATCAAAGTCTTTATCAATGAGTACTAAATACAATAACTTAAAAACTCAAGGGACACAACAACAAAGCTTTAAATGGACAAGGCATCACAAAACTATAAATCAAAATTTAACCAATTTTTATATTCATATATTCATAATATTAAACAAATTAATATTTTTTCTTCTCCTCCTCCTTCTTCTTACGCATTCCGAGCTTTTTTTCTGGTGCTGAGAGGAAAGAGAAGTGCCTGGGGGTTCGTAGCCAAAGCCAATGGAAAATCTTTAGTGCAAGACAGCCTAGCATACGACGCCACCATCTCTAGCATGAGAATGGAGGTGGAGGTGGTAACTGCAGCTCTCCGGTGGTTAGAGAACAAGATGCATACACATGTCTAATTGTAACAGACTCTGAAAGCATGCTGAGAAAGGTGAGAAAGGTGAAGACAGGAATGCTTCGAGCAGAGTGGCAAGCTTCATTGGGAAGGTCACCGGTTGTGAGCATACTTTGGATCTTTTTTCCAGGTATGCCGAGGTAGTGGGTAATGAACAGGCAGACAGATTGGCTGGATCTGCACAACTGGGTGGTGAATTGATGAATGACAAGGCAGATGTGGTCAAGGCCCTTTGGGAACAAGCAACGGAATCAGTAGAGAAACAAGATTATGGCCTGGAGAGAATGAGGCAACTGGGTGTAAACATAGGGTCTGGCCGGCTCACTACACTCAGAGGAAAGGCAAGACTGACATAGAACCAGATTGTGACAGGTACCATCAGTAATGAAATTCTGCGTTGGCTGCTGAAAATGAGGACAGAGCACACATGGGAATGCCCTGAGTGCTGTGATATCAATTCTTGACTCGACTCAACTACACTCAACTCCGAGCTGTTGAAACTAACTGCTGCAGACATCAACCACCACACACCAGATGTAGGTACCTGACATATTCTGGCTATGCCAATCACTGCTGACTGACATAAATAAAAAAAGTCGTCCCCTTGTGGGATATTACTTATAAGTCGTCCCCTCATGGGATGCAATTTTTTTGGGTTATTTTCAAGCACCATCCTGGCTTTTGCCAGGGGGCCCTGAACATAGCCAGGGCATAGATTTGGCCCAGCCATAGATATAGCCCAACGGTTGAAGGGGGTTTCCAGGACCTCTACATGGGTGGTCCTCATCCGCATGGTGGCATTTTGTGTCACCAGGTGTTTATCGCTTGTGTTAAGTCCTGGTGGGGTAAAACTTACTTACTTCCTACTATCACAGAGTTGCAAGTGATACAGAACTTTATGGGAGACTTGATACTGTGAATGGTGACTTATTTAAACCAAACCTGAAAATACAATCAGAGAGCAAAGTAGATCTGCACAAAATTGTAATCACCTTCGGATGGGAATGCAGGAAATAGGTGGCAAGATGTTCAGATGCTGAGATTCAACAACTGACAGAGGACAAGTCTAGCAAGGAGATTTGATTATATATACTGATGGGTCAGTCGCCAGTGTAGAAAGAGTGGGGCTTCAACGTAAAAGCAAGATGACTGATAAGAGCTGGCATATCTTTTTTTCATTCAGTGAGTGAGGTAAATTTCTTTTGCCTGTTTACAGTCAAGTTGCCATATTTGCGCCTTTCGGCTGACACATCCAACTTCATTGACAAAGGTCAGCCCTTATCCATGTTGCATGACATGGACGTGCGGCAGGGGTTGTGAATGAAGATCCATAAAATCATCCCAGAGCTGGCTGGCGCCCAAGGTGAGGTGCGGAGCAACTTCTTATAGACATCACAACAGCCCTAACATTCTCTCACACCTGTGTTCGATATCACTGTGCCACAGCCTGGCATATGAGATTACCATATCCAGCATGAGAATGGAGGTTGAGATCGTAAATGCAAAATTCTGGTGAGGGGAGCCACACATGTTGTTACTGTATCAGTTTCGTAAAGCATGCTCAGGTTTTCTTCGAATAAAATTGGACACATCAATCGAGAGGTTGCAAGTAATAAGAGACATGAAAATTTTGCACAGATCATTCAGGTACATTTAAGAATGAGCAGGCAGACAGGTTAGCTGGACTGACGGACTGGCCCCTACGACAAGGGAGGGTACTGTAATTGCACAACAAGGCAGAGTTGAAAGCTCGCTTGTGTGGGGCAAGGAAACAAAGTAAAATGGAAGATAATAAACACCTGCACGTGGAGAGAATTTTGCAGCGGGCAGTTTCTGCGGGATCCGGGCATCATTCGAGACTCTGGGGAAAAGGCAAGACGAGTAGTTAAGCCGACGACAATGGGTACCATCAGTATGGAGACTCTTGGCTGGTGTTGAGGAGAGAGATGGAGCTAATGTAGGCTTGTCCTGAACGATGTGATGCTGAGTCTGTACCTAGATATCATCACCCCCCCCCCCCCCACTTCCCCGGCGTCATTCATCTCAGTGATTGGTCCACTATTTCTAGTTAGTGATACCAAGTGTTTGTAGGTCTGCCTAGATATTACCTCTCCACCGTCATCTTGGTCTGCCTAGTGGTCTACGACCATTTAACTCCCTGTGTACAGTTTTTGCTTCTCAGTCATCTGCTATTCTTTCTATATATCCCAGCCATTGCAGTCTATTAAGCCTCATGATGCCAGGGACCAACAGCTATTTTAAAAAAGATTAAATAAACAAAATTCACCTTATCAAAACAGAAGACATTAATCCGGCCACAGAAGTTAATGCGAGGTGGACTGATGCAGAAAATCCTGGACTTCTTCAGACGATTCTGAGCATACACTGTTCCTACAGTCATGGCAGCTGGCAGAGCAGGGGGGACGATGATGGTGACAATGTCCAGGACTCGAAGCACTGTTCTTTCCACGTGTTCCTTTAACACATACATGGCAAAAAATCTCATTACCGGTACACTTTGTTTCAGAAATAATAAAACAACAACACATATGTGTCACTTAAGCTGTGCTCTTGATCTCTCTGTGTCTCTCAACGTGCCTATTTTTTTCCCTGTCTCTCCATCTCTTCCTGCTTCTTTCTCTCACACCCCACATTTCCATTTAAGCAGTACACATAATACAGTCAGACAAATGCTCAATCTCTGACTGTCTATGTCTCTGGGTTTGTTTTTTTCGACTCTTGCTCTCTGTCTTCATCTATCTCTTTCTATGTTTCTATCTCTTACCATTTCTTCCTGTTGTTCATTCTCTCACAACCTGTTTCCACTATAAATTATACATTTATACAATTGACACACAAGCCAACCTTCATCAAGATATAATTTGCCAGAGAGTACGCCATGCCCATGGAAGCGATCACGGCCAAGCACAGGATGAACCTCATGGCATCTCTGTAGAACTTGAAGTCCAGCGGCTTGGGAAACAGGATGGCTCTCACCAGTTCCCCTTTGGCTGTGTTGAAACCTGCAGGAAGTAGACAGGAAAGTGATTAACCCTTTCATCCCTAACAAATCCTAACAAATGACCCTTTTCAAAATGTGGTTAAAAAGAAAGAGAAAGAGAAGCAGAAACAATATGTCTGGAGTCTTGGTCAAGTGTTCTAGGAACCCAGGGGGTTGACAGCTATGACAACTAGACAGACGGGTAAACCTGCTGGCTTCTGTATCACCCCAGCCCCTAAATCACTAAATCGATGGATTTTTTCATATTTAGAATCATTTTTTTTGCGGAAAAGTGATTTTTCCATATTTAGAGCCCTTTTTTCTTCTCAAAGGTGATTTCTTTTTTTTCCCTCCATATTTAGTACTACATCAGCCGTGCACTTAGAATTGATAAGACAAGACTCCCACATCAAGCCCTCATATGGATACCGGAAGGGAAACAAAAACGGGGAAGACCAAGAACGACCTTGCATAGAACCATTATTAGGGAAGGTTCAACCATGGGTCCAATAAACATCCAAGACCTAAAACAGGTGGCAACGAACTGCCAGACACTGAGAGTTTTGACCTCTGTTCTATGCACCAACTTAGGCTCAAGAGGAAAGACTAACTGACAATATTTAGAGTCATAATTTTGCTCAAAAATGATTTTATTATACAGTGATGAGATATCTATTGTGCAGAAGTACCATTTCTGTCTCTACCTTGAATGCTAAGTAAGAAAAGAACACTTCCCATGCCTTTGCTGCCTAGGTAATATGATGCGCCATCAATATTTTTATAAACCAATCATGTATTTTTTTGGTGCATGTTTAATCATTTCTGACCAAGATGAGTCCTCCACACTATGATATTAAACTGTTTAGCATCTTTTCTTCTGGTCTCCCCGTGGTTTTCTTCAGCTTTCTCACTGTCATAATGTAGTTTGTTTTTCTCTTCTCAAGTTGTGACCAAAGAATGTAGTCAGACTGACAAAACACACCCAGCCTCTCAACAGACTACAGCAGAACATCAAAAGAAAGTCAAAAGTTAAAGGTTAAAGTCGAGAGGATCAACTCTAGTTTTATCCCATTTGGCTCAGTCTTTCTCTGCAGAACTGCTAGCCACCTGCTGAGAGCATCACATAAAGCATGAGCACTGTAGCTCCGGTGATGATCTCAATGAGTCTACCTAGAAACTGCCCTCGTGTATAGAACGACGCAGCCATGAAATGAACCCATGACCTTCATAAAGCTGGACCATTTTTCCACACAGACCCCCCCCCCCCCCCAAGAACATCAAAGAAGAGAGAAAATAGAGTCACTCACCTGTCCTAATCACAACAGCCGTGACCTTGGCTTGGCCATAGTAACGTGTCTGTACAATACGCGTGCCAGAAAAGAGTGTATGTCTCTTGTGAGTTTCTGGGGAGTATAACTCCTCATCCTCCTGTTGAAGAAGTGGTGTCTTGGTAACAGGCACGCTCTCACCTAAATATAAAGACAAACATTACCTGCAAATGTATCCTTTTTTTTATGAGGGGGGGTCATTTGCTGCTACTTCCTCTCTAAAAGTAAAGGTAAAGTTGGGAGATGTGAACCAGTGTCATTGCACAAAGTTATAAACCATAAGTGCTCTGCCACCAGTACGGACATCTGATAAGAAATATCCGCCCGTGTCGCCATTTGCATGTAACTCTGTAGCTACAGCGACATTCCTCCATTTACCCCAGAGTGTCAACTCTGGTACCCATTTACTAGAGGCTGAGTGAACCCCGGGAGCCGCCCGGTTTCGAACACCGACCGTGGACTGCAGCGAGTCGCAGCTGGATTTGAAAGCGAGCCTCTTATCGACTGTGCTAACGTGACTTCCTCTCTATCATCCACCTCATCTCCTTGTGTGGGTTCTGGGGCCCCTTCAAGGAAGGACAAAACAAAACAGACCCTCTGCCTCTCAACAAGTATGTTTCCTGTAAAAGTCTGCTAATTAGGGGCATTTCCTTCAAAGCTGGAGTTCATCTACCTGAGAGGCAGAAACCAACAGTCTGCATACAAATAAGTTGATTTTGTAAAATGGATGTGTACGGAGGACTCAATTTCTGGAGCATGTCTATAAGTGGACAGACAACAATAACTTTCTGCTGCAATTTAAAGCCGGTGAACGTTAAAAAGAAGCAGAAAATCAATCTCTTCTGTTTTCTTCTTTTGCTCCTCCCTCTGTTGCTTCTTCTTACTGTTTTCTTTCTATTCCCTTATTATTTTCTCCTCCTGATTCTTCCTATATCTAACTGTTTCTACCCTCCACTCAATTCTTCCATCCAACACTCTCCTTATCAACACTGTTCCTCTCTTTTTAAAATTCTCTTTGTCCTCTTCAATATAGACACTGAAAGAGAAAGATGCTAATTGAAGAAAACATCACAGACTGACTGAAAAAAGAGAGAGAGAGAGGGGGTAGGGAGGGACAGGGGGGAGGAAGAGAGAGAAAGAGAGAGAAAGAAAGAATGAAGCTGATTAATGAGTTCATTAGTAAGAATGATCAGAAGGTAAAATGAAAAGATGATGGCATTGGATAGGACACACACTGAGAAAACCTGATAATAAATGTAACTAGAATGTCCTAGTAGTGAAACCCATATGGTCAAAGAACAAGAGAGAGAGGCTAAAACCACATGGGACAAAGGTAAATAAGATAGAGGCGGCCATGCAATAAGCTGCAGGTGATGGCAATAAAAAGGACAAAAACATTAGTTGATTGAGGGTCCATGCTACATCAGAAGAAGAAAAGCAGAAGGAGAAGGATGAGGCAGAGAAGCAGAAGGACGAGAAATGAGGGGAGGAAAGAGGAGAAAAGGACATAGAAGAAGAAGAGGAGAAGGAGAAAAAGATGAATCATAAAGAGAAAGAGAAAAATATTTTTAAAAATGAGATGTTCACTAACCTGTGAGCATACTTTCATTAACAATACAAGTTCCAGCGGTCAGCACAGCATCACATGTCATGACACAACCATTTGGAGGGATGGATATCAGGTCACCAGGCACCAGCTCTCGGTCCAGCTTGTCCACAAATTCTTCAAAGACAATTTTTTTACAAAAAAAATGTTTAGCTGGAAATACCTGTCTCATTAAGTGAAGGTTACTGAAGAAACAGAAGAGGATTCAAGACAAGGGTTTTCTTCAGAGTCGCAGTGCTTCTGCCTGACAGCAGGCAAGAAAGCAAAAGACTGAACACAAATAAGCCAGATCTGTAAAACCAATGTTTGTGCAGAACACACATTTCTGAATAAAGCTAAAGTCAAAAATGGATGAACATCAACCAGGACTGTCAGCAGGAGCTTACAGCTAGTGAATGCAAAAATACAAACAACAGAGACAATGTTGAGTAAGACAGGGAAGACACAGAACAAGCTGCTCATGATGGCAAAGGATAGAAAACAAATACAGACAGAACTTCTTCTTCTGCTTTAGTTCACTTTGAATAAATTACCTATATCTGCAATGTTGTCTCTAGTGTGAACTTCATTGTCTTTTGTAATTCACTCAGCAACCAGTAAAGTTTGGCTTGCACCAATGTTTCTCTGGGCAAAATGTTTTGCCTTGATCTGTTGTATTTGGGACAGTCTTGGAGAATGTGACCTGTTGTCTCAGATGCCAATCCACATATGCACATGGCTGATTCGCCGATTTTAAATTTTGTGTACATGTGAATGCGAAGTCGACTGTGTCCTGTTCTAATACATAGAATAATAACTTCACAGGAGTGAATCTTTTTTCTTTTCAATCTTTATGCCAGTGGTTTTAAATGAGAAAGCCACAATTAATCAATCAATAATCAGCTGCCGTCTCCACAATGAAGGTCCGCTGCAATGGGTCTCCCAACACTCTCTGTCTCTTTCTTGGTAGTACACTCTCAGGCTGCTGTTTGTTTACCTCTTGATTTTGTTTTATAATTAAACAACATATTTATTCAATCCACAATCACCTAATGTAATTATACAATTCACAATCAACCAATATATTTATACAATTCACAATCAACCAATATTTTGATACAAGTCACAATCAACCAACATATTTAAACAATTCATAATCAACCACCATATTTATACAATTTACAATCAACCAACATATTTATATAAGTCCCAGTCAACCAACATTAAAACAAATTCACAATCAACCAACATTAACAAAATTCACAATCAAAAAACATATTTATACAATTCACAATCAACCAATATTTATACAATTTACAATCAACCAACATATTTATATAAGTCCCAATCAACCAACATTAAAACAAATTCACAATCAACCAACATTAACAAAATTCACAATCAAAAACATATTTATACAATTCACAATCAACCAATATTTTTATACAATTCACAACAAAAAATTATATTTATACAATTCACAATCAACCAATATATTTATACAATTCACAATCAACCAATATATTTATACAATTCACAATCAACCAATATATTTATAAAATTCGCAATCAACCAATATATTTATACAATTCACAATCAAATAATATATTTATACAATTCACAATCAACCAATATATTTATACAATTCGCAATCACCCAGTATATTTTTACAATTTGCAATCAACCAATATTCTTATACAATTCACGATCAACCAACATACACAAAAATCTTCTTACCTTGAGTGTCCAGGCAAACTTTCACGGTTCCCTCTTCTGTTGCCACCATGTTCTTGAGTGTCACCCGTTGCTAGTGACAACAGAATAAACATTCAAGGCCACATTCTGACAGTTATTTTGTTATAGTCAATTTGCCCTAGACCAGAAGTTCCCAATTAGCTACAACCTGCTGACCCCTCTTATTATTCGAAGGTCAGCCATAATTTTTAAATAGTCACATTGGGAAACTAATAATAAATCAATACACTTTCTCCTCGACTTAGATCTATGCTACTTATGACCATTCATGCTTATGACCACACAGAAAAAGCAGTAAAGAAAGAAAGATAACTACACCGGTAGCATCAAAAAACTTTTCAGAATTAATACAATAAAGTACACGTTATGTATTTGTATATATTAGGTATTTTTCACATTATGTACACATTTACGCACACAAAAAAGATTACATTTTTGTGTTTTATGTACAATTTTTACAACCCTTTTGAAAGAAAATAGTGTTGGAAAATGTTATGACTTAGCGACCAGTTCGACTTACGAACTGTCGGTCAGAACAGAACTCGGCCATAAGAATCATGAAACATTCTAAAGTTGAAGATTTTTTTTTTACACACACACACACGCTCGCACGCACACATGGTGCGGACCCATATTTTTAAAGACCAGCTGGCATTTGATGGATGATGTCATCACCACGCGAGCTGCCTTTGCTTTCAAGGCATTTCCTGGTATTCATTTTGGCACTGAAAACATTTTCATAGGCGCTCCGTCCCCATCTTCAGCAGCAATCATTGGAGTTCCAACTTCAATGGTACCAATAGCAGTCTGATTTCTCTTGAGTGCTGATCATCAACCTGATCCCCTGGTCACTCCTCGCTGTGCCATTCTCTTCAAACAATAATGATCCATCTGTGTTTCTGCAATGTTCACCCCCCCCCCCCCCCCACATAGTACCCTTACAACATCAAGCTTGTCATGCATCAACCAGTCTATCTGTCTGTTCATTTCCTAAAACTGGCAAATCCAGGTTAAAATACGCTAATTACCCGGGACCTCTGAAGCGATGTTTGTCACTCTTCAAGTAGCATACTGGTCTCCACCTTTCTCAACATGCTCTGTGAGTCAGTAACAGTTACGACATGTCTGTACAGCTGATTCTCAAGACAGCGAAAGCCTGCAGTGACTGCCTCCATCTCCATACTCAAACTCGATGTTGTGGTGTCATATGTCATGCTTTGTTGAACTAAGCTATGTCTATTCACTTTTGCTAAGAACCCCAATGTGCTTCATCTGCCTCTCAACACAGAGCTATCTGAATAGATTTTCACATCACCTGGCAAAGAACTGTCATGAATCATTTGTCGAACTTCTGATTCTGCAGCGCTCACTGGCCAGTCCCTGCACTTATGGCCCAGTGTCATCAGAACCCTACACAAGTGAGACTTTAGCTGGGACATTCTGACCTACTTCTTTTCTCCCCCAATGTCATCAAGCCTACACATGTCTAATTGTGTCTTCAGTTTGCACCATTCAAGACCTTCCTCATTTCAGTCTGTGATACTTAGCTCTGTCTAGGACTTCATGCAGAAGGTGTTTCTTATCTGTGGCTACTCTGAAATATGACTTAGCCATCAGCACTTTAAACCTATCTATAATAGTCGACAGTGCAAGCACATATTGCATACATACTGCTGGGGTATCTCTTATACGTCCCAGAATTACCTTCACGGCTTTATTCTGTATGTGTTGAAGTTTCATTAGCTGACACTTTGATATGGTAAGTATTCCAAGTCCATAATCTAATGCCGACAAAATCCATATCTATTGCTGCCATAACCTTAAGTGCATTGAGTCCTTTTTGGCATTTCACCGCAACTGCCTCCATGTGATCCCTGTAGGACTGGCTTCTATTAAATATGATACCCAGGGAGTATGAGGGAGTTATGAATGGCAACAGTAAATGCATGGGTAAACAATTTCCAGAGGGGCCAGATATACAACCCTTGCAGAAAACCAATATGTTGCTCAGAGTCCCTCACTGAATTGAAGATGTACAAATATATATAACATGTTGACTAGCATCTGAGAATTATACAGTCATGCAAAGTGTGTTGTTTGGGACATAAAAAATTAAGGTTTAGTTTTTGGCTTGCCCTGCAATATTCAAATAAAATCCGCAGAATGTGAGTTTCCCAAGTTCTGTGAACTCTCTTTGCTGCTTATTGTTTTTTATGTCCTAGTTTTAAAATTTATTCTGATTTTTAAATTGCAAAGCTTGATTAAATAGTTTCTAATTTCAGACAATAGTTTGTTCTGTCTTCTTCATACATTCCAGTCAACAGTAACCTAGGCTTCTCCTGCTACAACAATTTAAGAACACTGAGATTTACAGGGCTAGTCAAAGGTATGTTTAAGCACTTGGGTACCCTGGTAACAGCACACGGAAGATATATTAAACGAGTTAAATGTAGAATAGCTCAAGCCAAGGCAGCATGTTAGAAAATGAAAAATATTCTATGCAATCTTTATTTGTTAATTCAAACGAGAAAGAGAATTCTCAAGAGCTATATGTAAGTGAATCATAAACAGATATATGGTTAGCGAAAAATTATTTAGAAGCAGCGGAGATTTGGTTTTAGAGACAAATTATGGGAATACCCAGGACAGATAAAAAGAGGAATAAAGATGTCTTGAAGGAAACTGACTCAGGAAGAGAAATGACTGCCCACATCAGAAAAAGACAATACATTATCTGGTCATGTCATAAGTCGGAGAAAACTGGAGTACATCATGACGATGGGAAAGTTGGAAGGGAAAAGAGGCAGAGGGAGTTCGAGAGAGAAGATTCTGAAAAGTCCGACATCATGGCATGGAAAATCCTCTGCCTCAGAACTGACTGAAAGGTGTGGACCATAAGAAGAAGTCACAGTTTCTATAGTTCATAATAATTCTTCGTAGATGTCCCACAGTGAGTTTGTGCCTGATTCTGGTATGAATGAAAAACAAGAGATGATTAGATGACCAAAAGGATAAGAGAGAAATGATGACCAATGCCTGCTCCAAAACAGGCAGCTGAGGAGAATGAAGATGTAATGTAAAAAAGTAAGAACATAAACAAAACATACCTTCTTTGTTTCTCTAAGAGAAATGCCAATAGAGATCCCCGAGATAAGAAATATACAGCTGGCATAGTAGTAGTACTCATCTATGGCCCAGAGTATTATACTGGCTATTTGAAAGATGTAGAAGGGGTTTAACACCTGAAATGTAAGTTAAAGCAGAAACAGTTTAAACACATGGTTCAACAAAACAATAACCATCATCATCAGTTACTCATCATAATCATCATTATCTAATTATTGATTTAAGAATTGACATCACAGATTACCAGCATGCATGCCCATAGATATCTTGTCTGCCACAGCAAATATCTTGAAGTGTGGATGCTGAAATGTGTACAGTCTTTGAACTACCCAATGTCCAAAATGTGTACTGTGTCTGAACTACCCTATGTCCACAATGTGTACTGTGTCTGAACTACCCTATGTCCACAATGTGTACTGTGTTTTAATTAACCCAAAGTCCACAATGTGTGCTGTCTTTGAACTACACAAAGTGTACTGTGTCTGAACTACCCAATGACCACAATGTGTACTGTGTCTGAACTACCCAATGTCCACAAAGTGTACTGTGTCTGAACTACCCAATGACCACAATGTGTACTGTGTCTGAACTACCCAATGACCACAATGTGTACTGTGTCTGAACTACCCAATGTCCACAAAGTGTACTGTGTCTGAACTACCCAATGACCACAATGTGTACTGTGTCTGAACTACCCTATGTCCACAATGTGTACTGTGTCTGAACTACCCTATGTCCACAATGTGTACTGTGTTTTAATTAACCCAATGTCCACAATGTGTGCTGTCTTTGAACTACACAAAGTGTACTGTGTCTGAACTACCCAATGTCCACAAAGTGTACTGTGTCTGAACTACCCAATGACCACAATGTGTACTGTGTCTGAACTACCCAATGTCCACAATGTGTACTGTGTCTGAACTACCCAATGTCCACAATGTGTACTGTGTCTGAACTACCCAATGTCCACAATGTGTACTGTGTCTGAACTACCCAATGTCCACAATGTGTACTGTGTTTGAACTACCTAATGTCCACAATGTGTACTGTGTCTGAACTACCCAAAGTCCACAATGTGTACTGTGTCTGAACTACCTAATGTCCACAATGTGTACTGTGTCTGAACTACCCAATGTAAACAATGTGTACTGTCTTTGAACTACACAGTGTCTAAAATGTGTTCTGTCTTTGAACTAGCAAATGTGCACAATGTGTACTGTCTTTGAACTAATGAATGTCTAAAATGTGTACTGTCTTTAAACTAATGAATGTCCAAAGTGTATTTGAACTACCTAACGAGCGCGTGGTGAAGTAAAGAGTACAATAATATGCAAGTGTGCACTGTATCATTTTAGACATATCTGATCAATAGATCACTTTGTTCACTCCAGACTCCTATCTTAAGGTTGAACATACCATCCCAGAATTTAAAAATCTCATCTGCCTGGCAGAACAGCAAGAGAGACCCCAGATACCCCGTGCAACCTCCAAAAAAGTTACAATTAGGGCAACTGTAACAGCTACACCAGAAAGGTTTATCCTGCAGTACTATAAGGGTAGGGACGGTGTGCACGTTCTTATACTTTATCTAGTCCATGCTGTGTGATGTCTGTCATCATGCCTGTCCACAGCATTCTGTCTTGTGCCCTGTCAATCCTTTCAGACACACACATTACTTCATGCTGTGATGCCAAAATATCCAACATACTCTCTTTTTGTCTCCCTCTGCCTCTCTTATATACTCAGTGTCACAACATATCTGAGTTTTCCCATTTCTCATGACACAATACACAATACATGATGATGAGGGATGAACGATGAGATATATATATATATATATTCTCAGGCTCATGTGTCTCTTCATTCTACTGGCAAGACATCAACGTGGCTGCTTCAGGATATGTCAGTTAAGTGATTCTGGTTATTCGTGTGGTTTTGTTTTACTGATGTATGCGCTGATGAAATCTCTATAGCCACAATGTTCACATTTTGTGTCTGTTATACTGTGAAGCTACTTTTCGTTTGGTTTTATATCTTTCCATGATGAGGAGGGGGAGATGGCTGACCATTTCCCTTCTTCCTTAGAATCATAAGGTTCCTTCAAGGAAGAATTGAGCTGTGCTAGGTTAACAACCAACATTACAGAACTCTGAAAATTTCCTAAATGCACTTTGCCTGCATCTTTAGCAACTAGCAAAGAGTTCCAATTCTGATGGTACCAACAGCAGTCAGTTTATGCCAGTCCTGCCTTTCCTCTGAATGTAGAATGCTGAATGTTGAATTAAGAATCGACATTACATCACTCGGGACACCCCTACTGGCACTCCATCCTCATCTGCAGCAGCAAGTGAAGAGTTCCAATTCCAGTGGTACCAGTAACTATCTAATAGTTTATCTGTTTCGTTCTTTCCTTGAGTGTTGAGCATCGGCCAGATCCCCTGGTAACTCCCCGCAGCACCATCCTCCTCAGGCTGCTGCACTGATCACTCGCTCCAAAAAAAGCCTCACTACATGCAGTGAGTCATTTTCTCCTCGATAAATTATGGGTAACAGTAGGAATGACGTAAGATCATAAATATGAATTGATATTTTAATTTAACGGGGGCGGGCTGTGGCACGAGAAAATGTTGGCAGAAATGAACAAAGTGTTTAACCTGGGTGAAGTGAAAAGCTCGAAGATCACGAGTTTTTGACGAGTTTTTGGGCAATCTAGAATGTGGGCGAGAGAAGATTAATTCCCTAGAAATATCTAGGAGTCTGTCTCGTCTGGGTCAAGGAACTGTGTGCTTGTGAAGCGGAGAACATGTTTTGAATTATGTTTGACTATTTATTGGAAAGAGAATCAGTGAGTGAATGAATAATAAATATTGACAACACATCATGTCATTCATGTCGTCCATTTTTCACCTGAGTTGAGTGTCAGGGCACAGGTGAGAAGTCGGCAAGGGACCAGAGCCAAGATTGAATGAAAAGAAGGTCATTGCAGAAATGGAGGCCGTCTGCACCAAAGAATACAGAGGCTACGAGAACTGGTAGAAGAAAAGTCCCCGATTCAAACTTTCTGGTCACCTGACAACAGAAACACAAGAGAACTGTTGTAGACAGTGAATAGTGCAGGGAGCAGTCGTCTAATTTAGCAGAGGAATAAAAGTGTAAGTCTTCTAAGAGATGAATGTAAGACTGGTGGCTATCCTTCTACAGCGATTCTGAAGCCCTGTTGACTGTACTAAAAGTGTTGCTGACGACAGTGTGGTGAGTTGCAGTGGGCTATCTGAACCAAGCAACACAGAAAATTGTCGACAGCAGATCCAGATGAAAAGAGGGTCACTGCACCACATCTAGCCTGTCATACACCAATTTAACCACCAGGATGAGGCAGTGATGAAACTATATACATTTATAAATAAGAGGCAGTCAATGTTCTTTGGTCATGTGATAAGAAGAGAGGTACTGGAGAACATCATGATGCCTAGAAAGATCAACAGTACAAGAGGCCGAGGCAGACTGAGATGCTTGACGGCCTGAAGAGATGACATGGTGGAATATCATCAGCGGAAGTGATTCAAAATACCAAGGAGTGAGATCTGTGGAGAGACATAAGCGCCAACGCTGCTGAGCAGGGCACATGATGATGATGATGATGATGATAATCTTTTTGCACTTCTGGTTTTCCAGCAAGACAACCTGGCGAAACTGATTTCTATCTCACATTTCTAGACAAAACATTACGATGATGATAATGCCATACGATAGTGGTGACCACTTCCCTTCCTAAAGGAGCCACAGTTTTGTAGTTGCTAGACCCTTGTCTGCTGGCCTGAAAGTGTTGGGCTCGATTCTTTATCGAGTCTGATTTTTTTCTGCCAAAAATGACTATAGCTGCGAGATCATCCAGCTTTAAATGAATACCAAGAAATGTTATGGAAAGTAAAAGCAGATAGTGGGACACTGATCGCCGATTCAATCATTCATTCACTACCCTGTTGTGCTGTTATTTTTCACACACGGCTCGCAGACTATTTCTCCACTCCATTCTATCCTGGGCAATCACCTTTATATCCTGGATGCAATCCTGCCCAGCACCTTAGGCCTCTCTCCTCAACGTTCACCTCAGTGTTTCTCTTGGACGTCTAGTTTCCTCAGTAAATGTTTCCCATTTCAGTGCCTGTCTGGCAATTCCCTTAGGATTTTTTATTTTTTTGAGTTTAACGCACAATGATGATGATGATGGAAAAGACATTGCCAACCACTTCCCTTCCTCCCAGAAAATAAACTCAAGATGCTTCTTGCAGCAATGTAGGGTGATGACTGTGTCACACAATGGTGATGCTGATGGCATAAGATATTGGTGACCAGCTCACTTCTCTCACCAGCCCCCCACCGCACCCCTCTTTCCAAGTCTCTTCCAACAAGGCAAGCTGACAAAACTGATTTGTCTCACACAAGAATACAAACCTCTCCTATGAATAGTGTCCAATAGGAAGGCACCTGGATTTCCATCGTGTTTGGGCCATACAAGCGTGATCTGTAAACAAGGATGACAGAGTCATACTTCACTCTTGGCAATGGGCTGGAGTAGGATGCAGGAGAGATAGACAGCAAGAGAGAGAGAGAGGAAAAAGAGAGAGAGAAAGAGAGACATTCAGAGAGAGAGAGAGAGAGATAGAGAGAGAGAGAAAGAGAGAGACATATACACACACAGATACACACATGCATACAGACATAGAGGGATAAGAGTGTGTGTGTACGAGAGTGAGATTGAGAGGGATTAAAAAGCCTCAGAGAGATCAAGTGTGAGAGAAAGTGAGGCAGAGAGAGTATGACAGTATGTATGTGTGAGAGTATGTGTATGTGTGAGAGTAGGACAGTATGTATGTGTGAGAGTATGTGTATGTGTGAGCGTATGTGTATGTGTGAGAGTATGACAGTATGTATGTGTGAGAGTATGTGTATGTGTGAGAGTATGTGAATGTGTGAGAGTACGACAGTATGTATGTGTGAGAGTATGTGAATGTGTGAGACTGACAATGAGAAATTAAGTAAATGCTGTACTGAGAGTGAGAGAGATAGAGAGTGAGAGAATGAAAGAGAGACAGTATGACAGAGTGTGTATGTGTCAAATTAGGATAGAGAGTAAGAGAGATAAAAGAGTGAGAAAAAGTGTGTGTATGTGTGAAATTAAGACATAGTTAAGACAGCTAGAGTGAGGAAGAGAGTATGACTGTGTGTGTGTGTGAAATTAAGACAGAGTTAAGACAGCTAGAGTGAGGGAGAGAGTATGACTGTGTGTATGTGTGAGAATTAGGTTGAGACAGAGAGTAAGACAAGTAAAGAATCAGACAGACAGTGTTGAGAGACAGTGAGGGAGAGAGAGAATATGTGTGAGAGTGAGACTGAGATCATGAGTCAGAGAATTAGAAAGAGTGAGAGGGAGAGTGAAAGAGAGTATAGCAGAATATGTGTGATATGGATAGAGTAATGGAGATTAGAGTATGTGAGAAAATGGGCAAGAAAGTATGAGAGGGTGAGTGAGTGAGTGAGTGAGTGAGTGAGTGAGTGAGTGAGTGAGTGAGTGAGTGAGTGAGTGAGTGAGTGAGTGAGTGAGTGAGTGAGTGAGTGAGTGAGTGAGTGAGTGAGTGAGTGAGTGAGTGAGTGAGTGAGTGAGTGAGTGTGTGTGTGTGTGTGCGTGCGTGTGTGTTTGATTATGGCAATGATAACAATGATGATGCTACCAAAACTGGTAAGAACAATAAGTATCATAAAAATGAACAATAGTCGAGGGAAAAAGCACAACCTGGCAGCTCTCTGCTGGTCTGAGAATCCTGTGAACTTCTCGTGCAGGACAAAGCAAGGGGTCCCCGTGGACAAATCCCTGCAAGCAAGAGGTTTATCTTAGTGACATATAACACTGACAAGATATTTGGTTCTCTCTCCCTCTTTCCCATTCCCACTCATCTCTCTCTTCTTCTTCTTTCTCTCGCTCTCTTGTTCTTCCTTTCTTCTTCTCTCCTGTTACCTCTTTCTCCCACAGCCCAACACTTTCTGCTCTCTCTTCTTCTATCACTGACTCCTCTCTTACCCTCACTGCTCATTCCTCTACTAATTGAGAATCTACTGTAGAGTCTTGGAAATTCTGTGGCTAGCACACTAGTTTAAAAAGAGATGAGAAAAGAGGCTGAACAATGAGGTAAATAAAAAATCACAACATGAGGAGGAGAAGGTTGGCAGGAAGAGGTGGAGGAGGAGGAGGAACAAAGAAGAAGAAGAAATAGAAGAAGATGAAAAGAGAGGAGGAGAAGGTGATGATGATGATAAAGATGCAAAGAGGAAGAAGAATTCAAGATGAAGAGATAGTAAAGAGGAAGAAAAAGAAACGAAGAGGAAGAAGAGGAGAAAAAGAAAAGAAGAGGAAGAAGAAGAAAAGAAGAAAATGAAAAAGAGAAGAAGAAGAAGAAGAAGAAGCACAACAATAACAAAACCACAACAAGTAAACCAAATCAATCACTGACTCTAATTTCCGGAATGAAGACTTGTACTGGTCCCATATGTATCTGGTGTGCTGGTAGTCAAAGTAGCGCAGGCTGCCTGCCTGGTGCCCGGTTGTCCACGAGAGACTCAGCTTTGTTCGGTCATCAGAAAAGTCACTGTTGCTAACTGAGACAGCCGGTTCCGCATCTGTTCCTAAGTTTTGGCTGCAAGTACATCGCAACAACAGATTAACAACGTTCTCATGTTAAGTATAACATATCAAAGATTAACTAGATACTTTCTCACTGTAAATAAAATGAGTAATTAAAGTACCTTTTTTCTCCCCTACATCGTGTATATGATGATAAATGCATATCTTTACAGACTGATCAGCCCACTCAGAAGGTGATGCGGTCATACCGGCCATCTTTACTTTGCAGGACATCACTTGGTACCCATTGTAGGCTGGGTCGAGCTGGAACCCATGGTCAAATCTTTTTTTTTTAAATCTGACTCAACGTGGATCCTTCGACCCAAAATAGGGTTGCCACCCACCGGTTGAGAACCACTGTCTTAGCCTTCACATACTTTAAGCCACAACAAATATACATTTCTCACTGCCTCTCATTGCAGACATCAAGTATTTCTGCTTTATTTTAAAAACTATTGAAAAACACCTCTCCTACGTTAAAAAAAAGCTTCTTTGATGACCTCAGCCTCATTAAATGGTTTTTCGTTTAATATTAACTTTGGCGATCATAAATAATACTAATGTTACTCTGTGATCAATCATCAGGTTTCATGAAGGCCCCATAACACAAGGTATTTTTTGGTCACAGCTGATACTGACTATCTGACTGGTTGGCTTCCACTTCTGTCACTCAGATGTAGTGCATATCTGAGATGTTTGCACGACTGATGCCTTTCCATTCAACCAAGTTCTGTATCCAGAGCTTTAATGGTCTGCCTCTTCTCTTTTTCCCCTCTCTCTCCGTCAGCACTGGGTGGAGGCAGTGGTCAGTATCTTCTATCTGTTGTCATCACACTGTTACCAAGTGGCAGCCTAGTGTCATTGTTTTCTTTATCGTTCTTGCGCTTCTTGAGTAGCTGAAGTGATGGATTTGTTCAATGTTACGCCTGATTCAGCTACATCATCTATCCATCTTTACCTTGGTCTTCCTTCTGACTCAAATATTCTTTTGTAGGTCTCATGTACACTATTCTCTGGGTGGCTTCCGGGGCTCCATTGTGGGGAAAACAAGAATAGACCCACTGTCTCCCCAACAAACAAGGTGTAAAAGTCGACTAACTAGGAGCTTCCTTTGAAGTAGGAGTGCATCTGCCGGAGAGGCAAGGAACCAAGAATCTGCATAAAATTAAGTCAGATCTGTTAAACAGATGTGCATGCAACACTCAGGTTCTGGAACAAGACTAAAGCCTAGAGGTGGACAAACAACCAGAATTTTCCGTCGGAGTTTACAGCCAGTAAATGCAAAGAAGAAGACGATTTACAGTTTGGTCTGGCGGCATTCGTACTAGATAGCCACACTATTCAAACTTTGGTCTATCAATGCAATTCAGGCATGGTCTTGTTCCAAAATTATCTCTAATGCCAGTATTTGAGGCACTGTCCATTTCTTGTTGATCACTACCAAATTTGCCTAAACTTCTCAAGACAGTCACTTCTTCTTACAGTCCATGCTGTGTGGCATTGGTAGTCATGTCTATCCACAACCTTCTGTCTAGTGTACTTTCCATCAATTCTGATAAAAATGATCCTCCATGCCTTGTCACTGTCCAGAATGCTCTCTCTCAGTCTAACTCTGTTTTTTCCTTCTCATGAAATGACCAAATGTAGATTCTCCATCTGAAGTGGGCAGTCAGCTCTCATTATGAGTCAATTTCTTTCAAGACATGATTACCCTTTTTACTTGTCCAGGGTGTTCTCATCATCTGTTTATAAAACCACATCTCCACTGCTTCCATCACTAGCATCAACTTTATCTGGATCATGTGTCAAGACTACCACCCAACAGTGCGCCACAGACAGTCCTATCTTCTTCTTCTTCTCTTCCACCTTGTACCTCATCGAAGTGTCGGGGAAAGATGTAATGTACGTTTATGAGCTCTGTCAAAAGCACTATTAAGACTGATATTCATTTCTGTAAGGCTGTTCTTAATGCCATCACTCCATATTTTCCGAGGTCTTCCACTCGCTCTATACCCGTTGTAAAGTTTTAGTGTGGCTCGCTGTGGCAGATAGTACCAGGGCATTCTTGTTAGGTCCTATCACTCAGACAAAATGGAAGCAGATCTACCCTAGAGGTCGACCATGCAAGTCATGGACAGATGGAATATCCAAGGCCATACAAACTAGCGTCTACATAGCACACACCAATGCTCGCATCTCATGTCTCTTCAAAGGGTTAAACTTGAAGCACCAAAGTAGAGGAGAAGAAGTACCTAAAACTGATCTAGCAGGCAAGCATTCTAGCCACTGTACTAAAGCAACTCCCAATATTTTATAGCTGGATGTTTTTCCTAAGGGTGCAACAATACAAAAATAAACAACATAACCTGCACAGCCCTAAATCCTCAGACTCAAAACTTCCCCAACCTGCTGTCATCACTGCCTCTATTTAATATTTCTGTGGTGTAAAAGGAAAGGGAGGGTGTCTTTAAGCCTGATGATTTCAGGCCGCATAGCTAGTGAGGTTGATGAAAGCAGCAGTCGCAGCAGATCAGTAGTTTCACACAGAACTAACTGCATAAGGCACCACCAGCTGGCAACAGGCCACTAACCATTTTCTGAATCTGCAGTTCACAACACAACTCCCCTTGCTTCTCCCATACGCCAGGAAAACCCAAACCTTGCTGAGGATTTAAACCCGGGCCTCCAGCCACTCCCTAGTCCTACCCTGCCTTAAAAAGTGGTACCATAGGCAGCAAGGCAGTAATGGCAGCTGATAGATAAGCCCAATGGAATGTTAATTAAAATGCAGAGCTGTCTGGAGATAACACAAACACACAGATACAGCTCATACAATGTCAAAATGCTCCTACGGTCTGACACACAAATGGGACCTGGTTCAGACAGATAAACCTCTGCCAGGCACTATTTTCAAAGGCTCACTCAAGTGACAGAAGAAACATGTCAGGGTCAGTCAGAAATGAAGTCAATTTCTGAATTCGAGTGCCAGGCTCAGATTTATTAATAGACATTTATTGCAGATAAGCAGACAAATGCCAGCATCTTCTTCTTCTTCTGCCTTTCTATCCCCCAGTGGAGCACAGGCCCTCAACCAACTCACGCCAAATCGTCCTATCCTTCGCCATTACATGGAGCTCTCCCCATTTTTCTAACTTCATTTTCTAGCTCTCTTCTCAAAGTGTTTTTTGGCCTTCCTTTATTTATATGCCCCTGTGGGTTCCAATGCAAAGACATTCTAGTTATGCTGTTCTACTGTTTTCTCAGTGTGTGTCCTATCCAACACCAGCATCTTTTCCTCACCTCTCGGTCCACTGAAGCCTGTTTAGTTCTCTCCCAAAGCTCTACGTTAGTTATTCTATCATACCATTTAATTCCCTCTATTCTGCACAGGCACCAGTTAATGAATGTATGTAATTTATTAGTAATTGCCTTAGTTGTTATCCATGTTTCCGCCTCATACAAAAGTACTGATTTGACATTAGAATAAAAAATTTTAGTATTTCTTTTAATTTCAGCATCAATCAGTTCCTATAACAGTCAGCCTCTGTTATCAGTATCTTCAACACCAAGTCCTAGCCATTCAACATACTACCGTAGAATACTAAAGAAGAGAAATCTTACAGAAAAAACAAAACACAGCTCATTACAAAAATGGTAGAAATACAGATAGATGAGAGTCTCTTGAGCAAACTGGTTGTTTCATGCTCAGAAGGTTGTAGGTGCAGTTTCAAAGTCCTTCGGATTACGAGTGCTGGAACAACAGAAGCTGTGCTTCACGTAACACTTGCAGCTATGCAGAGAGAGGGGAAGAGAGAGAGAGAGAGAGAGAGAGAAAGAGAGAGAGAGAGAGAGACTCAGCCATTTCGAATAAAACCCACTGCAATGAAGTAAACCTCTCACGTTTAAACCAGGCTCCCCCTTTTTCCCACCCTTTTTTTTAACATAGATGAGCAGCCTGATTAATCTGAACATGTTATCTCTGATCAAGGCCCTCACTGTTCCTTTTATCTTTGTGAATATTCTAAAGGTCAATGTATGCAAGTATTAGGCTAAGATAACACTTATCAGTGTATAAGCCTGCTAGTTGGAAAATAAAATATAAAGAATGATGTTAAACAAGTGAGGATTTCCGTGTGGGGCCCCATTTAGAGGAAACCAACAATAGACTCACTGGGTAGAGGACATATTTTTACAGACCAGCTGGCCTTTGGTGGGTGATGCGGTCAACATCATGCCAGCTGCCTTTACTTCCCAGGATTTTACCTGGCACCCATTTTAGGCTGGACAGACCTGGAAGCCAAGGGCATTTTTGAAGAGAAAAAAAATCTGACTTAATGCAGTTGACCATCGGGCAGGCAGGCAGAGCATCTAGCCAATACACAGCTGTGACTACACACTGAGCTAGCCCCATTTAAGTACTGACCAAAATCGGCATTTAATGAGTGCTGTGGTCTAGAATGGTTTACAGCAGCACAATCTGGCAATTGTTCAATTAAAAATTATCAAGATAAGATTAAAAAAAAAAGAAAGCTAAAGTTGGTCATATGCTGATAGTTACAATCTTTCAAATCACACAGCCCAATGTTAAAAGCTGTAGCAACACAATTAACTACTGATATGGTTAAGTGCACATAATAGGGTTTAGAAAGAAAAAAAACTTGTCCATGAGGCACACCAGTCATATGATGTTAGCTGCATATTTTGTATAGACCTATTGGCACTTGATGGGGGATGCAATTAACTTCACACCAGCCGCCTTTACTTTCCAGGACATTTTGGGCTATTTGGTAGCTATTTTTGGCTGGGTCAAGCTGAAAATCTAGGTCAATTATACAAATTTTCTCTGTGTGGATTTGAACCCAAGACCTCTGAGACTGGATGAGAAGCATTTAGCCATGCAAATTCCATATGGCTATAAGCACATGTATGACCAATTAGGCATTCTTTGTTGACATCTCCTAAAAACCTTATAGCTTAGATCAGTGGTTTTCAAGCTGCCCAAAGAAGGAAGGGGGGATGTTTGCAAGGAAATGTCAATGGGTGTCCAGCAATTCTGAAACTGAGTGCATTTGTACTTGTAATAATCTTTTATAATTAATATTTTTTTTTTTCCAGTTTAACTACAAATAAATTATTTATTTATCTCTTTCAGTCTCAAGGAACGCATCATTTGTTCATATGTTCCTACCTAGAAGCCAAGTGAATGCAAGATGCATCAATTTTACATCTCTCTTTACCACCTCTTGGGCCTCTAATACTTAAACACCTTGGGATCGAAAGAGTTCAACTGTTTATAAAACAAAACAGCCAAGGATGTTTCTGCTTTCAGAAGTAGTTTATACAGCAGATAGTTAGTTAGTTAGTTGGGTTATCCTCATTGCACTCCGGACATGTCCATAGGTGCTCAGATCCTCCCCTCAGTATGAACCCCAACGTCCGATGGCTAATAGTACCAGTTCTATGTTGATTAACAAGTCTTCTGGCGTGTCTGGTGTGTGTCTCGTTTTTTTGCTGTACTGATATACAGCAGATATTAGCTAGATAAAACAGTGTCAACCATCACACTGATATCTGGACAGCAAGTTATCATTTATTGGTGACTGTTTCTTTTATGTTATTTGACAATCTCATTTATGAGGGTGTTTTTCTCCAAGTTATTGTTAATAGTGCTTGGGATTTATTAATTATTTTGCAATCCTATTTTCTCTCAAGTTAAGGTTGATGGTCTTGACATACGTTTGGGGAAGGGGCGGGGGAAGGGGCGGGGAAAGGGGGGCACCTGTAAAAAACAAAGGTTGAAAATTGCTGGCTTAGATGAAAAATTGTCTGTGTATTATTGGGGTCAACAATGGAAGAAAAGAGTAGTAAAACCTGAATAAAGCATGCATGTTTTAAGAGGATACTAAGAAAGATTTTTCTATGGATAAGTCATTCAGTCTCATGCTAATTCTCTTTAGTGGCTTTTGTGACATGCACAGTCTACATAGCTTCAATTATCTACTTCTCTTATGGGTTCCAGTAATAGATGGGTGAGCTTTAACATTTCTTCTTCAGAATTCTGAGCCCTGATGTTCACTGCTGCAGATATCACCCACATCCATTTATCTCCTGCTTTCTCTTTCCAGCTGATGACTCCAAACATTTGCAGGTGCCACTGTTATCTTGGTCTGCCTTGCAGTCTACCTCCATTCAACTCTTTTGCACACAGATTTTGTCTCTCTGATGTCTGCATTCTCACTATATGCCCTAACTTAATCCTTAACAATTTAAAGTGAATTAAGGTTTGAGGTTTGAACAACGGATCAACATCATGGCACAAAGGTAGTAACCTATAAGTGATCCGTTCTTCTTCTAACTCAAGTCTGAGTTCGAAGAAGCTCAGCGCACTACACAGGCTCTGTAGCACCGGTGAGGATCCTGAAATACTTTCGGTAGATTTTCAACTCAAAATTTTGCGCGGGTAGCGCCGTTAGGCTACTCTTTTCGATTTCCAACTGCCGAGGGATTTTTTTTAATGTGCACACAGGCATCCGATCTCACTACCCTGAGACCAGAAGGAATTATAGAAGCCTAAGTACAAGTGAAAAAATCCCAGCCCTTACCGGGGATTGAACCCGGAACCTGTAGCACTCAAGGCAGACACCATGCCTCGAGACCATGCAGCCCCCATATAATTTACTTAAATACGGTCAAACTGCCACTACCATTACTGCCTGTACTGACCACTTATGCAGTGTAGACAGGGGTCTTTTGTGTCTGAGGATCTATGGCCATATAGCTAGTACTGTCTTCATGTTAGGTTAGGAATTTGTTTTTGCCCCCGACAGAAACAACAACCAAACTTACTAAGGATTCGAACCCAGGTCTCCCGCATAAAAGCCCTGCATTCTCAACCATTTAGCCAGCTGCTCTTCAACAATTTAAAGACTAGCATCTAAACAATATAACTCACTTGTCCAGATGTTCTGTCATCGTCTGAATTTTTACAACACTCACTATGCCGAAGGAAGTCTGTGGACAACGTAACGGTTTAAACAAAAAAAAGTCTGATATCAACGTCTCAAAGACATCTTGGGAATACCCTGCTGCTGCTTTTTCTTCTTTTTTATCTTCTTCTCTATCTTCCCCTGTGGTTTGGGAGCTGTGAAGCGCATTGTATTTCCAAATTAACGGGTTCGACAGCAGACCTCCTTGCGTTCTTTTACAGTGGTATCAAGAGCAAATCGCCCCAAAAGCACTGGCAAACTAGTGAGCACAAAACTGCCTAGTGATATGACAAACATGAATGCAGTTAGGGGGAGGGGGAAGTGTTGGTACAATCCAGGTGGGGTGGCTGTAGCCTTCGACATAAAAGAGTTGGCGGGGCATTGAAAAAAAATAAAGATGCAGTGGAAGAATTTGAAAAGAAATGGTGGGAAAAACTGATAAAATAAACTGTTTGTACCTGTTTTATCTGTTGTGGAATAGTTTTAACAAATTATAAACAAAGAAGAGAGAGAGAGAGAGAGAGACGCACACACCCATTCATGCACACACGCATGCACACACACACACAAAGGCACAGTTTATTACATGGTATATACGCTGTATCTCAGGAGCATACTACTATAGCAACTGATTAAAATGAAACAAATAAATGAATCCTTTTTATTGAAACATAAAATCAACGACACTGAAAAATGGTTTCATTTTAATCAGTTATTACTATACTATCATACTAACCTGACGGGACAAGCGAAATAAGCCAGGTAACAAATTAGGCAAACTTACTGTCTGTGTCTTCTTTGTTCAAATTCACAATGAGAAAATACTGCTTTGACTGTAGTGATTACTTAATATCTTCTTCTTCGTGATCACCAGCTGTAAACTCTGGCGGAAAGTTCTGGTTGTTCATCCACTTCTGGACGGCAGTCCTGTTCCAGAACCTGAGTGTTGCGAATGGATCCATTTTGCAGATCAGACTCATTTGTATGCAGAATCCTGGTTCCTTGCCTCTCAGGCAGATGCACTCAGACTTTGAAGGAAGCTCCCAATTAGTCGACTCTTACGACATGCTTTTGGGTAGACAGTGGGTCTATTCTTGTTTTCCCTATAACAGGGCCCCAGAATCCACTTAATATTAAACATGCATCTCATAAAACTGCATCTTTTTATTTCTTTGATTACAGAAAGTAGCTTCTAGAGGTGGGGCAAAGTGTAATCTTTTTTTTTTAAAGTGTGCTGCGAAAATAAGTTTCGGAATCTAGGGTTTATCTATGGTCTAGTAGCATGTGTACAGGGCATCCTAATTACTGAATCAGAAAAACACCAGACCCAGCACAAGATGGCTATTTTATTATGGAAAGATCAGAAGAAATCCTTATCTGGCACCTCAGAGCAGGGCACACACACATTACTCAGCCACATGGTTTTCAGTCAAAATGGACAATAGGCACGGTCATTGTTTTTAGTCACGGCAAACGTTTGGTTCCTGACAGACTGTGGCCATTGCATTTTCCTCCATTTGTAGATTGAAAGGATATAGTTTTGTCAACCAATAACTACTACACTGACTGCATGGTGCGACACTCTGAGCTGCAGACTCCATTTGATATGTTTTTTTCAATGTTGTGCTGTGACATGTAGATTTTAAAAAGGAACAGAATTGGCGCTGCTCTATGTGATTAAAATTGATGGCATGTGCAACTGATAATCTGTCTGCAACAGAAGCTTCTATCAATGAACTGCATTTCTAATTTTGGACTGTTTGTGTTACCATTTCTAATGCCTGCCTTATACTTTTAATGCATGTGTAAGCTAGTGAATATGCTGAGACTGCAGTCTGTGTCAATTTTTCCACAAGGAACAGTGAAGGACATTCTGTATGTTTTTGTGGGTGTTTTTTGGGGGGCACAGGAGCAGAGAAATTATGGTCCATTTGCTATGAAGCTGAAACTAAGATTACCAGATTAGGCAGCCACATGTACAGGAAATTTAATATAGGTATTCAAGAAGAACAACAGTAAAAAGTAAACTCTATGGATCACTGAATGAACTAAAAACTAAGTGACATTTATATCAGAAACAAAACTGCTTATATGGACAATTTAGAAGAAGAAGAAGAAGAAGATGGTCTAGTGTGCCCTTTAATCTCTACTTACTTTTTTTTTTACTCACTCAGTGATTCAAATGGTGCTGTCATGTTTCTATCTCTCATTCAGCTGCTCATTATTTTAAACAAATTGTTCTCTTACATTTAAGAGCCTAATTTTCCTTTGACACTTCTAACAGAAAGAGGTGAGAAGGATCTGAGGACTGAGCATGAGAATTCCCACTGTGCAGTGACACTGACTGTGATAACATAACATAACAGTTGCAAATCAATGACAGAGTATTCAGTCGAAGCAAGAAAACAGCTCTCACCTTCAGTAGAACATACTGGGCCTTGTATAGGGGGCATAGTTTCCTCTGCAAGTAGCATGTCAGTTCTGGCTTCCAATGGACAATCAGTAACAGAGTACCCAGAGAGAACACTACCAGTAAACCGAAGAAGAATTTTTTACTGGCTGAATCTCTGTAACCCCAGCAAATCTGTGAGGGGGTAAAAGATAAATAAGGCAATGAATTAACTAGGTCTAAGATTATCCTTCTCCTTTATCTTCTTCTTCACCTTCTTCTGTCCCTCCTCCTTCTTCTTCATTGCAGAGTTAGCCCACATTTCAAGTAAAGCCCTCCTTGCATTTGGCATTTCTGGTAGCTAAATTGTCTTCTTCTTTGTGTTCGGTTTCGTATGCTCAGGTCAGACCATCTGGGAGGTTGCCTCTATGAACTCGCTTGTCAGCTGTAAGTCCTTATGGTTCCCTATAGCTTGCTCTGCAAATTTTGCTCTTAAGGCCAGGTTTCTTTTTGAAGTTGTAGGTACAGTGGGCAGGTCTGCAGAATGGGCTCGGGTGTTTGTGGTCCTGTCTGACAGGTAGCTCCATCTAAGTTGCCTTCATGTTATTCAACTCTGTCCCTGTCACTTCTGTGTGTGCATTAGGTATCCATCTATTTTTTTTTTTTGCTCTGTGGGTTCAAGCATAATATCTTTCTAGCTATATTATTAAAAAGTTTTCCCAATGTGCATCCTACCCAACCCAGTGTACGCTGTTGGACATGTGAACTGGTAAAAACAACTGCTACACCGCACACAATATGAATTAATGACACTAACGCATTCAAATGCATACACAGTCTCAAAAACAATAACTAATAAACTATAAACATTACTTAACTGGTGCCTGCACAGAAGGACCAATCACAGAGAATCAAGACATGAGGAAAAGATGCTGGCACTGGAAAGGAGAAGCGATTTCAGTATTCTCCAGTGTGTCTCTTTCCATCATATGATCACTGAACACTGACTGTTTCTTATGGTTGCACATAATGTTTCAACAAGATACTGGAAAGAGCAGGTATCACAGCAGTTTTTCCTCAATACTCAGTCATCTATGAGGATAAAGGATGGTAGGGACCCTAAGGACAACCTCTATGATGAATTACAGATGGGTAGAAAAGTTGGGATCTGCCTCTACTAAAATTCCAACTAGGTACTGGGAAGATCTGATATCATTTCAGTTTTGTCAATGCTCAGTCACTGACGGTTAGGACACACCTGGAGGATGGAGGATGGTAGAACCCTAAAGGATATGGTGAATTACATATGGATAAAAGATACTGGGGTCTACCTTTACTACAACTTAATGATGTGAGGGACATGAATGATACAGGTATTGATGTGGATTCATGAGAACAAGATGCCAAGGATCACATTGCAGGGACAGGAGAAACTTAGGAAGAAAATAGGAACAAAGCAAACAAATTACTGCAGATTGGTCAGGAGCTGGGCATTTGAGAAGAACATGTCAAACTCATATGATGGCGATTCCTGCAATTCCATGTACTTATTATGGAAGATCATTCTTGAATGAATCAATCAATCAATCAAGAACTGACACCACTGCACTCAGGATATTCCCGAATGTGCTCCGTCTCCTTCCTTGGTAGCCAAGAGTCGACATGCTAATAATACCAATTGAAACTTGATTAAAAGTCTGCCTACCAACTACTCCCCCCCCCCTCCCCCCACTGTTCAGTATCTTCCAAATCCTCTACTCACACCCACTGAACAAGCCTTTTAATGTACAGATTTTCTATGTATGCTCTATTGCTCTGTTCAGTTGATCCCAGAGAGCCTTAACTCTTTGAGTCCCAAGGAACGCATCATACGTTCATAGGTTACTGCCTAGAAGTCCATGGAACGCACAATGTGCCGATTTTACGTCTCTTAAGATTACCCCTTGGGCCTGTGATGCTAAACCCTCTGGGACTCAAAGAGTTAACATGAGTTTGCCTTGACCGTCACCCTCGTCATCATTTACCCTGGTAAAACAGAGTTTTTTTAATGTAGTCGTTTTTGTTTTTCATTTTAAAGGATTCATTTATTTACTTCATTTTAATCAATTGTTACTGTAGTATGCACCTAACGAGCTCACAGTGTCTTCTTTGTTCCAAGGGGAAAATATTACTCTGAATTTCTTATTTAATTAGCAAAAGCAACAGAAATGACCCTTTTCACAGATATGGCACATCTGGCATAGTTAATTCATTATATTTTCTATGGGAAAGTTATAAGTTCCATCCACAGTCAACTCACTAGTTCTTCATCTGTCCCTTTGTTCAGAATGCATTGTGCTTTCAACAAAGAACTCTGAGGAGTCCTGCTATCTGTAATGACATTGAAGAAAACACAAAACAAATTATTAATACTATTGATGGCATAACCCTACTGCCCTGAATAGGCTACATATAGTCACTTCCTGCAGTGACAAGCTTTGTAAATATTGACATATCAACATTTCTGCAGTGAGCTGTTCAAGAAAAGCATACTTAAATGTGCCCCTTTCTACGCGCCAACAGCTTTCTCAAAGCCAGGCAAACTTAAATTTTTTGAGTAAACCTTAGTGACTGTAGTCACAAGGTCATAGCATAAGTCACACAATACATAATTTGTTTTAGGCCATGGAAATGCATTCTTTTTAATACTCCACTCTGTTCTTGTTTATTGATTATTCCCTTTCCCTGTTTGGGTTCCGGGGCCCTATTATAGGGAAAAACAAGAATTGACCACTGCCTACCTAAAAGCATGTCGTTAGAGTCAACTAATTGGGAGCTTCCTTCAAAGTCGGAGTGCATCTGCCTGAGACGCAAGGAACCAGCAGTCTGCATACAAATAAGTCAGATCTGTAAAACAGATGCACACGCAACACTCAGGTTATGGAACAGGACTGAAGTCCAGAATTGGATGAACAAGCATAACTTTCTGATGGAGTTTACAGATGGTGAACGAGAAAAAGATGAAGAAGAAGATTATTCTCTTTATATATCTCTATATTTTCTTCAACAAAAAATTTCAAAAATTTACATAAATAAATGATGAAACAATTTATTACTTGCATGTGTAAAATAGTTTTTGATTGTTTTAAAGGTTTTTATTTTTTATTTTTTGAAATTTCCATGGGTTCAGGGCCCATTTTTTAAAAAACATTTTCGAGGTGAAAGGGCTAAAAAGGCAGTTGCCATGTTGTGCTGTAATTTACAGACAGGAGGCAATATCTGCACCTTTCCGTTTCCCCATTTGTGATTTCAACAAACCCCTAATTAGTTGCTTCAATGACAATCTTGTTAGGGAGACAGTGGGTCTGTTCCTTTTCCCCCAAAACTGGACCTGGAGCCCATAAGAGGATTACATTAACATACACTGTCAGTCGAATACTGGAAAACATATAGGGTATTTGTTGTGTTGAAACATAGGACACAAATGGCCTGACCAATATGAGGTAATTGGACTTTGAGAAATGTTTTCTCCATAGAGCTAAAATAAAATGCAGGATTTATGTTGCTCCACCTTTGAGAGGCTAAAGGGCTTCAAGTTTCATCAGCTGACTCTTTGGTATGGCAAGCATTCCAAGTACATAATATGTTATCGACATAATCACATGCTGGAACACTGTGAACAGCATTCTTTGTTCCATGTCTTTTGCTGCCATAATCTTTAGAGCATTGAGTCCTTTTTGGCATTTCACTGCAACTGCCTCCACATGATCTCTGAAGGACAGGCTTCTATCGAAAATGATACCCAGATACCTCAGTTTGCTTTCTTTTTTGATGTTTCTATCAGTAATTGTGAGGCTTGAACATTGGCTTTTACAATTTATTTTCCAGAGAGCACACCACAAAACAGCTTTCTTTTCTGTAGCTCTTGTGCTGTTTCCTATCGCTGCACTGCCTCTATGCAAGAACATCATCTGTAAATGTCAATATCCTGCACTTGGTGCTTTAAGTTCTGAAAATTTGCTTGTAAATTAATTAAAGTGCACTGGTTAAACTGCGGAACCCTGGTGTAGTCCAGGGGCGATATTATTTGGTTCCGAGGTTCATGTACCCAGGCGAAGGGCAACCATACGTGAATGCAGATCACCATCCATGGACAAACACTTATCTCTATGAGCACAGGTATCAGAATATTATATCTAACTCTACTGTAGGCACATCTTAAAAGACATTAAAAAAATGTACTGTACCAACTGTAACAATCAATAGTGTGCCTTTTACAACCTGTTTTCATTTTAACCATCAACCCCAACTCTCTGACTAAATTATAAACATAACGCAAATCTTTATGTCCAAAACTGATCCCGACTTACAGCAGACGACGACTGTTGCATTTTAAGACATCCCAGTCGCGCGAAAGTTCAACCATAAATTCGATAAACTATTCAACATCTCTCTTCCAGTTTACTTAACTTACCTGTTCGGTGATTCATATTTGTCACAGTAATCCAGGAATCGCATAATAATCCACCTCATAGAAGGTAAACTCCAGTTATTTGTGAGAGGAATTTTATCAACGTTAAAACCTTTTGTTTTTAGATTGCCTGTTTCTGAACTTCATTTGCCAGATGGGCAGAAGGAGATGGTTTTGGTATTGTTTGTGCCAGAAAAATCGTGCAACTGCAGCCAAATTTATTGTTTGTTTATTAAGCTGAAACAATTATACACAACTAGCTTACTGTGTAGTTAGAACACGCGGGTTTATTCGGATATAATCTATATGAAAATGACTGTTGCTCTCGCTGCTGCTACTGCTACTATTATTAATACAGCTACTGCTGCTACTACTACTACTACTATACTACTATAAATCGCCACTAATACTACCATCAGTTAGAAGAAAAGGTGCCAGAAAGTGTCTCCAATAGTGCCGTGCTCACCATAATGTATCTGAAACAGTAGCACTGAACATACAGGTATGCAGGTACTGCGTACCACCAGAAAAAAATGTCCTGAGTACTACTACTATTATTATTCTTACTACTACTACTACTACTACTACTACTACTACTACTACTACTACTACTACTACTACTACTACTACTACTACTACTACTACTACTACTACTACTACTACTACTACTACTACTACTACTACTACTACTACTACTACTGCTGCTGCTGCTGCTGCTGCTGCTTCTGCTACTACTATAAGTTCTACTGCTACAACAACAATAACTAATAGTACTATTTTAACTGCTACGACTTTAAAAACTACTAATACTACTTTAAACATCACTACTATTTGGCTCTAGTACAGTCGCACTATAGTTTATTTCACTAGCACATACTGCATCACACACGCCTATTTTTCATCAACTATTAAATGCATGGTATGACGCTAATCAAAAGGGTGCATATCAGTGATACCCAGTAAAATCACTTTCTGACCTTCACCTATTACATTCAGTGTAACTGATTACTGATATCTATCTGATGAAATATTTGTGAGATCTACTGTATTGTCATGAGGAACGATATCTACCTCATTATCTAACATTTGCGCTATGTGTAGTTTTAACTAAAAACCCTTTCGTTATTAGGATGATCAACAGCTATACGAATTTTTTAATAAATCAAGTAATTTAAGACACAATGTTATTAATATTATCTGCATTATAATGGTAAAGTGCCTGTTGTAATCGAAACCAAAACGTTGTGATCATAACACTATTTCAAATAGTAATACTAGCATCATCATGTAGAAGGTTCTTTGCAGAACGTCGCTCTCATCACAGTCTGCCTGAAAGAAACTCGGTCTCTCGCCAGTTCTCTCGCCTCATGCACTTTCAAACTCAAGGAGTCACTTATATCTTGTGCCCATCTTCGTGTCGGTAGGCCCCTGCCCCTCCTTCCTGGTACCATGCCTTCTGTTATAATTTTCAGTATTAATATAAACTGCATAAATATCTAAAAGAAATGATTAAAAGATACATAAAATAGCGACTATATACTCCGAAAAGTCAATGAATACTTTGCATCCCAGTTATAACAGAGGGTCGAACAGGATATGGATGTGTGTATGTGCGCGCGCGCGTGCTTGTATATGTGTTTGAAAATTACTGCTACCATTCCTTCATCATCCTTTGTTACTATAGTTCCTTTTGGCCCATAGTGTTATCATTTGCACCCCTTATGATAAATTCACGTATTACAGTGATAACGGCAGTCAAGGAAAGGAGCAGTTGAAGAAACACAGAGAAGTAGTCGAATGTTAAATTAAAAATCTACACAACAGCACTCAGGACACTACCATAAGCGCTCCGTCCCCATCTTCAGCAGCAAGCGAAGAGTTCAAATTCTGATGGCACCAGTAACTGATTGTATATCCGTCTCACCTTTCCCTTGAGTGTTAAGCGTCGGTCAGATCCCACCGGTAACTCCTCGCAGCGCCATTTTCCTCAGACCTTAGTGATCTATCTGTGCCTCCACACAGTTCACTCGCTCCCAAAGGGCCCTTACAACATCTAGCTTCTCATACATCAATTCACTAACAAGTGATAAAGAACCGGCCAGTTTATCTGCCTGTTCACTTCTCAACACACCGGCATTAACTGGAGAAAATATCCAAAGGATGTTAACAACCCGAGACCTCTGAATTTATGCTTGTCACTCTGCATGGAGCATGCCTGTCTCCACTTTTCTTAACATGCTCTTTGAGTCAGTTACAATCACGACATGTGTGTACAGCTCATTCTCAGTCCAACGGAAGGCAGCAGTAACTGCTCCACCTCCATTCTCAAACTAGATGTTGTAGTATCGTGTGCCAGGCTTTGTTGCACTAAGCGACAACCATTCACTTTTACTATAAACACCCATGCACTTCGTTTACCCCTCGACACAAAAGAATCTGTATATATTATCGTTTCATCTGGGCAGAAATTGTCATGAATCATTTGTTGAACTTCTGATTTTACAGCACCAACTGGCCAGACCCTGCACTCATGACCTAAAATGATAAAAACCCTACACAAGCCTGAAGCTTTGACCCACTTCTCTCCTCGCCCAAATGTATCAAGCCTGTACACATGTCTTAATTGTGTCTTCAGTTTGGGCCATCCAAGACCTTTTTCTTTTCAGTCGGTAACCCTTATTTCTACCCAAGGCTTCATACTGGAGGTGCTTTTTGTCTGCAGCTTCTTCTTTTGTTCGCTTGAAATAGATTATCCATATCTGCAATTCGGTCTCTAGTATAAAACTTCACTGTCTGTTGTAATTCAGTCAGCGACCCGTACAGTTTGGCTTGCATCTGTGTTTCTCGTGACGCTGACACATTACTTTGCTAGCAGAAATTTGAGCCTATCTGCAGTAGTAGGCAGTGCAGATAGTATACA